ATTCTTGACATTTTGGTCTGAACTAACACTGTGATTCATATATAACCTAATGATTCTCCACAATTATTATTTTACACTTTGTCTGCTACACTTCTGCTTAAAATGTGGAAACACTGACAAAGAAAAGGGCAATTCTTATTAATTTGACTATCAATTAGAAGAAAATTTTATAATAAAAAACAAAATCAAAACTGACAACATATCTCCAAAGACAAATGACAAAACTGATTATTTTAACAATACAACAAAGGCAGCAGTCTAAAAACATGACATATGCAGAACATGAATAACATGTCAGTAAACACTGTGGTTGATTATTGCATCAACACTACAACCTTAAAACTTAACCACAAAATTGCACCAACATCTCTGAAGACACTGATGCAACACATACAGTTTTTATGTTTTAGCTTCATGACAACACTATGATGCATAACTTGTTGTAAGAAGCTCAGTCCCAGGAATGTTGTTTGCTCTTCCCCACATTTTGACTGGTTTAACCAAAACCTTGTTCTCAAATCCTTTCAGGAGCATCGATCGACAATGTCACAGATTTGGCTACATTTTACATGACAAGATGCACCATAGGTTGCCTGCACTACTCCTTTATGGTGTTTCTGGTTTTCCATATTCTGAGATGGAAAATTCAAGTGTGGTTTCACAGGCAATTAGAGGAAGTGAAACTTGCATGTTGCTAGGCCAACATCATTTTTACATTTGTGTTGTAGCAGAAAAATGTTTCCTCTTACATTTAATCTTTTATCATTATCTAATAATCTCACAGCTCTGACCTAAACTGACCTACACACACACACTGCCCTAGGCAGCAGGTCTCTGGACCAGCTGTATAGGTGTTATAGTACTTCTCTGTTTATTCTCTTTTATTAAGACATTCTTCAAAGACAACGGTTTGTTGTAACTCAATTATTTTCTTAGTCCCTCACCAGTAATATAGAATTTGCAAGACAATGGGAAGAGCTGAAGTGCAAAATTAAAGTCAGTTTCTGTTCTTCGTCCATAAAAGATGTGGAAACTTTACCTTTTGAAGAAATGTTCAGTGTAACTGTGTAACTGTGTATCTGTGTATCGCTTGCCGCGGGATTTGGGATCCTATCATTGTACATAAATATACATAGGATATAGTAGGATATCTTTCCATCCTTCTTTAAATATTTTTTATTCATTACAAACAGTTAGATCAACATATAGACATAGAGCTGAAGTGATTAGTTGATTAAACAATTAGTTATTAGACAAAAAATTGTCAACTCTTTTGATAATCGCTTATAATTTATGTCAATTTTCAAGGAAAAATACAAAACATTGGATGGTTCCAGCTTATTTAGTGTAAGGATTTGTTGTTTGAATAAATTTGGGTGTTGAGCTGCTGGTTAAGAAAAAAAAAACAATTTGAACACATCATGTAGAGCTCTAGGAAATTGGGGTAATTTTCCACAATTTCTTGTAAAAATAATCAGCACAATCACTAATACAAATAATCTCTAGTTGTAGCGGGAACATCAATACCATACACATTTTAAACTCATGGTTCCTATGTGTAACAGACCTTCATATCAATTATTTACTACCAGTGAGAAAGATGCTTTACGTGGTGACACTTGCTCCTTCAAAAAGCAGATAAATAAACTCTGTATTTCAGCAGAAGGTTGCTGACGCCTTAAAACCCAGCGATTGCTGTTCTGGATAGCTCTCTCAGATTTATACTTCTTCAGTCCTCCAAAAAATTTATAACTAAAGCTGCAAAGCACTGTACTTTTGCCACTGACATAAAGTCTGAGGAGGCGAGGGAGACATTAACAAAGAAGCGGCCAGAAATTAAAATGTCCATAATTTGATAAATATCTATTGGGTCCCTTTGCTTTCTGTTCCCACCTTCACACTCTGCATTTCTACACAGTAAGTCTCTACACAAAGTCACAGCTACAAACATCATCAAGCGGTATATTGTCAGGTTTAGATGCTTAATGTCGTGTCTGTGAGAGGTCATTTTTTGCAGGATGAAAGGGTTGTCTAATAAATACATGCTATGTGCTAACATAATGTACTCTGTATTGCTGGGAGGGAGATAAAATGCTAAGTGAATTACAAAAGCCTGTGTTAAGATGACAGAGCAACACAGCCAAACACCAGTACAAGTAGTTATCATGCTGTTATTGTTGTTTATCACTGTAATTTCAGCAACATTAGACACATGTTTCCTGTCCTGCCCCATAGTTCCTATGCGGGGAAAATAAAATGGCAGCAGCCTGTACTTGAAAGCTTCAGAGCTACAAGATTACTGACATGTGCTAGAGGTTGTTTTGTTTATTTAGCATGCATGATAGCAATCACCACACATAGAGCTGCAGTGTAATTGCTCCATGGGCTCAGAGACATTTACTAGCAGCCTTTCAACTTTAACAACCGCCACATTAGCTTTACACTCCCAAGCCGTATAGACAGGCAAGTTACGGTGTCTGGACTATTAATCTCCCGCTTAAAACTTACTTTCTGCCAAGATTAATCAAGCCACGGACACACAGTCAATAACAGGAGGCTATTTAGATAAGTGTAACCCATTATAATTACTTTAGAAGTCAGAGGCCTTAAGGTATTACAATTGATTCTGTTATCGCTGTTCTTTAATGTCAAGCATGCTTGCTATTTGGCTTGAATTTAAGAACAAAAAGAACAGACTGTGGTGGCACATAAACACCTTTTACAGCAAAAGAACACATAATTATTGACCTTTAAATTGAACAACTATAAGAGCAAAACTGCTGCCCATATTGAACTATGAGTTGTTAAGTAAATAAGATTGAAAAGGTTAAAAAAAGAAATTGTTTTCAGACTAAGTTGTGGCCATTGCTGTATGCGTGTATAAATGGTGGGTGGAGAAGACTGAGGGGGGAGGGCTGGCAAGCAGCCCGCAGTCAATACCATCATCATCATTCCATTAGACTTGCCTTACACAATGGGAACGTCAGTATATATCAGGAAGCTAATGTGGCAGTGAATCCCAGGGGTGGGAGATATATTTGGCGCATCAGGAATCCACTGACAAGATTCTTGGATATATAAGAGAGAGGAGTAACACCGTTGAGAGAGCATAGATGCATGGACGAGCGACCTATTGTGTGTCTGAAAGGAAACTTTGCATCGACCTCCAAAAAAAAGGAGTCTGAAACGGAAGTACAATTAACACACAGTAAGCAAAGGCAATGCGATGAATAAACGTGGTCTTTGTTTCATTTGTAGTATTCAAATGGAAGCTAAGTCCTTTGTGTGCATACGTACATGTGTGTGTGTGTGTGTGTGTGTGTGTGTGTGTGTTTGCCAGATGTGAACTGGAGGGTGAACAGACAGTGCAGGGACAGACATTAAGTCTTTCACAGTCTGTTCAATTCCAGCTCCCACCCACCCTCCAGACACAGAGGCTACTGCAAAAACAGAAATGTTCCAACTGCTTATTCATTTACTGGCCTGATCTTCTCTTGATCAAAGTTTTATCATTATTATTATAGACTTGATGAAGATACTGATACTACAAAATATAAATTTTATCGTCTACATCAGCTACAGACCTGTTCTTTTCATGCTTTATATACCCAATATAAATATTTTTCTTTAACATTTTGCATTTTACTGAATATAATTATATTTGTATAAACTGACTGGTTCAGTTATTAATGTCACTTCCTTTGGACGGCCATTCATTTATGTCTTGCAAGTTACTAAACTGTGACTAACTATAGGAGCTGAGCTGGTTTCATTCGTATTCAATCATTAGAAGATTCTCCAACACCTGCTTCCAAATTAGCCATGTCATCACGCTTTGGCACATTTAACCTTCAATGATACTGCCGTCCTTAGAGCAACAAACAAATTAAACAAATCACTCTCCCTTGGAATGAAGTCAAGGGTTATTATTTCTATTACACTATTATATGAGTAGTTATTCCTTTAATCCTCTGGTCCCTGTAACTTTACAAAGCAGCCAGTGACGCCAGGTCTGTAATGATCGCTGCACTGAAGCATGAAACAAAGAACCAGCGTCTGCCTGGTGGAGGATGGGAGGCGAGCCACTGAAACAGCCAGTCCCTTCTATGTCTGCGTCGAAATAAAATGCAGCCAGGCAGAGCCTCAAAATTGGCGCCTGGGGGGAAAAAATGTTAATAGAGCACAGTCTAATGATTTTTATGATAAATATCTTAAAAGTGTGAGTAATGAGAGGAGTGAAGGAATTGGCAGGGGGTGCTCCTGAAATCTCAACTGTGAGATGATCAGCCAATAAAAAGTCCCTCCAGGGTGATTAATCTGACCAATGGCCAGGTGCATTGAAAAAAAAAAAAGAAAATAGATTTCAAATGGAAAACATGTTTTATATAGACAATATCAGTCCAAGATTCATTACTCATTTTATCAGATTGTGAATTTTTTATCCATATTGTACTTATTTTGCATGGATTTGTCTCAATGTCAACTCCTCAACACCTTGATGCACTCAACCTGTCTTTGGCAGTGACTGACCTGTCACCTTAATACATCATGAGTTCTCCTAATTTTATGATAATTACTAAGAAAACATGTTTAAATACAGTGCATTTTTATATGCTCTGTGTCCGTGATTGGAGTTGGTGGTGCTGTCTAGGCAGCAGTACCCCACCCATGTCCCGCATGATGTGAAAAATGTATTTGGATTTGGGTTTGCTCACAAGAGGTTGACCACGTTTAATTGACACCTGAAGTAACAACACTATGTAGCGTGTCATACATTTCAGTTTGTGTGAATTACTTTTTGGCGAATATTTAAATATTTGGTGTAATAAAGTTTCTTCTTTTAGTCCTTCATCAAATGTGCAAGCCCAGTTTGTGGTTAAGGGGAGGAAATACATGTGTATTAGATACACACACATTTATATATTGGGTTTTAAAAAAGTCAGAAGAAAAGGAAAAAACTAAGCTCAATTAAACACGAGTTAAGGTAAGTCTCTCCAGAATTGTTGGCCATACATATTTATTTGTGAAGTTCAAATGTCCTTTTACAAACTGCAAAAAATTGTGCCCACAGATGTTCTACAGCTCATGTCTTTATTGGTGCTGTGGATACAACAGTGATACTCTGCAAATGATGGCGTGAAGTCAAAGTGCCCACATTGAATTTAACATGGGATCTTTCATCCCACTAATTCCGGAATGTACAATTGTTAAATAAATCTTATTACAATTTCTCACATTGTTTTTTTCTCAAAATAAAAGTGTGCCTAGAGAGAGCATGTTAAGACAAACTAAAATGTGCATATTATAGTTTTACTCTACTTAACATGTTATAATACAGACAATCATCTGTCCATAGGATAAAAGCTGCCTCATGATCATGGTTTAGCATTGTGCTTTTTATCATTAATAAAGCACTGGCAGTTGCCACCACACTGCCAGTCACGCCAGTGTCTCAATCGCATTCAGTCAGTGAATCACAATGATACTGCACAGATACACAACATAGATTGCACTAAAGTTAAGGGCGGTAAGTACTGTTATAGAAACATCTGAATGCATCCATAAGGGAAAATAAGGGTCGTGTACACGATCAGAAATATAACTCAACCCTTCTTTGGTTCACAAATACACTAAAAGACTTCAATGTTATTTAAAACATTGTGATATTATACAGAGTTTCCAAATAGGAAGAGGATACATTACAAATGGAACAGAAAAGCAGATAACCTATTCACAATTATAATCTCTGGATATAAATAAAGTAATTAATCTATTACATACTATACTGTATGGCAGATTTACATATAGGATTTTCTCACTGTAAAACTAGGACACATTTGGCACAAAGGCAATGTAACAATACTATACACAATCTACACAAAAAATCTCTAAAAACATAGCAAACAAGTACAGAACTTGTTACAATGACTGTGTTATATATTTCCACCTATGTAATATCAAAGGGAAATAACATATGGGTTCAATGTGGCGGTGCATCTGGCTTGATAATTACATAGACGACATGGACAGACAACAGTTTTTTTTTTTTACATTAATACTGTTTATGTCAATGCAATAAGGTTCCCTACATTGTGCTCTGTTACTTGTGAAAAAATATGCGGGTCTTATTCTGTTTTTTATACTGATCTTCATATGGTACAACAGTAAAATTATTTTTTTTTATACTGTAGCTGCTATTGAGGGAATCATTCAAGTGCTCAGACATTCTTTCTATTTCATATGAAAAGTAACCAGTGCTAATATCATTTAATTGACATTATATTAGGTTTATTTTTTACTTGACATGTAGTTTAGCAATAATACCAAGCAAGAATGCTTTTGTGATTCTCTCAAGTTTTGACTTATGTCCTTTTCACTCAGATGACCTGTGTGCAAATGTTTTGAATATATGTCATCGCTGCTAAAGACAGAAGAGACAGAGAAGAGAGGCACAGAGCTTATTATTTGTTGTGCATTGCCAGAGAATAGCTGTGAGCAAACATTTCAACGTCTTTTATGAGACAAAAGGGACATGAAGCCAAGCTCAGGACCCTCCAGAGTCGGAAAAGACCAGTGTTGGGTGGGGAAAGGGTTTAGGAATAGCTCTTACAAGTCATTCCCCAGTCGCTCAATCTCCTCGATCAGGAAGTCGATGTCTGACCTGGTAGCAGCGGGGTTGGAGATGACCATGCGGAAGAAGTTGACCTTGTCTCCTTGTGGCTGGTAACCTACCATCGTAGTCCCAGACTCCATCATCATTGCCTTGATCTTTGGGGCCACCTGTTGTGGACAACATACAGTGTTACACAAGCATTTGCACACATAATTGTCTGTGACTTTAATGTATGATCTAAGTAAACACTACATGAATCAATCTAAGATGGCAGGGGAACTAGAAGAGTAGCTTAAAAAGCAGACTGATGAGTCATTACCTTGTGCAGCCTCTCCCGCCTCTCGTCCCCATCAGGCAAGCCACGCAGGCTCGGTGGGATATACCAGAAACACACGTTAGTGTGCTGCGGCTGATATGAGAAAATGGGAACATTAATAATGAGGACCGATAAACATTGCCTTCTGTAATTTCAGCTTTTCTTGTCAACTTGTCAGCAAAGCAAAATGGTCCAATCAATCCTAAAACCAAGTTAAGATATGAAATATATTTTTGTCATCATTCATTGCAAAAAAAGGTGTTCTATAAAGCACAAAAACCCAGATAAGAATAGTATAGGCAGTTTGCCTTTGCTGGTTCAGTTGATCAGCTTGAATATCAATTGGATTCTGATATGTATTCTTGCTCAGTACAGTGAATATTTAGGTGTTCATTTGAAAAGCATTGAAAGAAATGATCTCACCTCTCCATTGAATACCATCTTGTAGCCCTCTCTGTTTTTTATCTTACTGTAGAGGTACGCTGACAGATCCAGGCACCTGTCAATATGCTGTTCAAAACCTACTGTTCCCTTTTAGGTAGATTGCAGGAAAAAATGAATAAGGCATTGTTACCATCACATTCTATATATGGTTGAGAGAGGCTTTAGAAGAAAACAACTGATAAAATGCAAACCTTTGCCTTCCACATAAGCCAGAACTTGAAGATATCAACATGCCGTCCACACTGAATGGCCTTGTCACCTGTGTCGTATGTAACATCATACTGTTTATCTGGCTGGAAGAGGTAACCAGCACACATGGAGTTGCAGCCTTGTAATAATCCCTGCAAAGGAAAGCAAATAGCAAGGTTACTAAACACCTGCAGAAAACAGTGTCAATGTTTTGTATGTGCCTGCATTTGTGCAGGAGTCGTGGGCAGCAGGCAAGTGAAAAACACAAGTCTCACCCTCTCTCTGACCAGAATAGCAGAGCACTGCAGCGGCACTCCCATCATTTTATGAGGGTTCCAGGTGACTGAGTTGGCCCTGCACAGATATAGAAACCGTAAACACAGCTCTGTGTGTGTGTGTGTGTGTGTGTGTGTGTGTGTGTGTGTGTGTGTGTGTGTGTGTGTGTGTGTGTGTGTGTCTCAAGTCTAGGACCAGAATCTAAGTGGTAATCTAAGAAGGCATTGATCCTTTCAATGTTATCAAAATACCCGTGCACACAGGTCTTTTGAAAGATATAGTTTGAGTTAGTTCTGACATCATACATCATTTTGTCCCAGATTTTTTATTGTACTTCCATGAAGATGGGGTAGGATTGGGGTGCCCTAGTGGTCTATGGGTTAAGGTGCCAACCATGCAAGGCACCCAGTTCCAACCAAAGGGTATGTTGTATATCAAACCCATTCCCAGACTTTTGCTGGAGCCAATCACAACTGATTTTTAGGCGTGAGGCGGTGTACACCCTGGACAAGTCATCGCAGGGCTGACACATAGACAAACAACCAATCACACACACATTCACACCTAACCTACGCATGTCTTTGGACTGTGGGAGGAAGCCCGGGCACCTGGAGAGAACCCACACAGAGAAGAACATGCAAACTCCACACAGAAAGGCCTGGGACAACCAAGGTTCAAACCCCGGAACTTCTTGTTGTGAGGCGACAGTGCTAACTACTGCACCACACATACACTGAACAAAATTATAAACGCAACACTTGTTTTTGCCCCCATTCATCATGAGCTGAACTCAAAGATCTAAGACTTTCTCTACGTACACAAAAAGCCTATTTCTCTCAAATATTGTTCGCAAATCTGTCAAAATCTGTGTTAGTGAGCACTTCTCCTTTGCTGAGGTAATCCATCCACCAGGTGTGGCATATGAAGATCCTGATCAGACAGCATGGGTATTGCACAGGTGTGCCTTAGGCTGGCCACAATAAAAGGCCACTGTAGCGGCCAAGATGTAGCGACATCATTTTTATGTTAACAGCATTTGAGCTTCTTTCCCTGAGCATGATGTCAGAGGAAAATGGCCGCCATGTGACTATAGTGAATGTCTTTCAAAGACAACGCCCCCAGCTTAACAGTTTCTTTCCTAAAAATGTGTAGTCTCCAAGCCGCTGACAAAAATAACACTGACTGTCATCAGTGTTAGGTTCGGGATTGACCTGGTGATGTCATCAGGGTTATTTTCTCCACAGAAGACATTATACTGTTTTCATAGGCTGAGTGGTCCTCTCTGTGTTGAGTAAACTGAATGATTGATGTGTAAAATTGGTTGAGGATGTACTACATTAGTTGTCAATTATATGTTTATGTACTGCATTCTTTTACCTCTCTACTCCATTCAGCTTGTGCCTGTGTTTCCTGGACATTAGCAAACCTCCTCCCCATGCACCCTGCACAGGACACAACATATGTAGCTGATATGTACAGCTGCTGTTATTATTTTGTATTGAAGATGATCAATATTATGAATATTCTCTTACATCCACATGAAGCCACATGTTGTATTTTTCACAGATATCTGCAATTTCATTGATGGGATCAAAGGCTCCGTAGACGGTGGTACCAGCAGTGGCAGTCACAAACATTGGAACATACCCCTGCAAACCAAAAGTATTGGGGGTAAAGTAAGACACTGGCTAAAATTATGGACTGAATTAAATTAAATTTGTTGATGGGCTAAAACACAGTTCTTAAATAATGCACTCTTCCCATCTGGACTTACTACTTTCCCATTTCCTCTAGTCTGCACTGCTATCACTTTACCTTGGAAGAATTACCTCCAGGAGAGGTACTATAGACCAGGGCAGCATCACATGTGAGCAGACAGAAGTATTAACCTTACTGAAATAACCTTGCTACTCTGGCACACACTGTGTGTTTCCTTTGCTGCAAGTAAACTCCGCAGAGTGTTTCTCATTGTACTGATAGAAGCAAATAAATAAGTTAGAGAGGATGATGTCTGAGTCATTGTTGCTGACATTCACCTTTTGCTTGGCCTCTATTACTTTGGCTTCCAAATCAGCAGGAATGACTCTCCCTCTGGAAAAGAAGACATAAGTCATCCAGACATTTTATATCTTTTACCAGACTGTCTGCATGTGGATTAAGCATAAAGCAAACCTCTCATCTGTGCTTAAAAGGACCAGGTTCTCTGTTCCAAAGCCAAGAGCTGCACTGGCTTTCTTGATGGAATAGTGGCTCTGCGAGAACAGATCACAATTCAGGTTGGATTAACACTGAAGATACTCATAAAATCGTCAAAGGTATTTAATTGAGAGACAGTGTCAGACTAACATGCTCTGAGGTGAAGAGAACCAGTCTGGGTGCAGCTGCCATGCCTTTGGTCTTGACTTCAGGAAAGAACTTGTATCTGGCAATCATCACACTGTACATGTTGGAGATTGCTCCTCCTGGAAAAACCGAGATAGGTAGAAAGTAAGTGCTGTAATTAAGTACACATTGGAGGTACTATTCTATTTTATGGTCCTTCATACTCGCACTACAAATATTTTGAAGGTAATTTTTTTTTACTTTTAACACCACTACACCACTTTATTTGATGGCCTTAGTTACTTTGCAGATTTAGATTATTAATACAAAATGTAATCAACAAATAAATTATGAATGATGCTAACCAGCAGTATATAAGGTGGTTAAAATTAGCTCCACCTTTCCAGGCTGCAACATTAAAGCCTTTCTTACACATTATTCAATTACTATAACCCGAAATTATTCTATAGATTACTTTGAAATGTGCCGTTCTGCATAATGAGTATTTTGTTTTTGTTTTGATGCTAACAATTGGCTAAATTTGGAATGCATGAGTTTTTCTACGCTGTGCTAATTTTACTTAAGTAAAAGATCTGAGAATTACTTCTTTATCACTGGAAACCAGTTGAGATCTTTTAGAGGTGAAAACTACAGATTCAGAACCATAGCTAAAATTAAAAAAAATAATTAAACAGAACATCTAGTGGTAACTGATAAAATTTGATATAATAATAAGTCTGACATGCTTGCACAAGAGTTATCGAGCTATTGTTCAATCACTGGTTTGGCTCTCACCTGGAGAAAATATTCCGTCGCCTTCTCCATTAGGCCAGCCAATGATCTCCCTCATCTTTTTCAGTGTCAGCTGCTCCATGAGCACAAATACAGGAGCGATCTCATAGGTAAACCTGAAACAAACAGGAGAAAATAGTAATTTTAATATGTGAATTAACGCAAAGTAAACGCCTCTTTCATTCCTGATTGAAGAAACAGTATAATCTTCACTTTACATGTGTGCTTTGTTGTGTGTTAATTGAACAACAGTATAGAAATAATAGTTTTTCTCTCTGTGGTTTCATTAAGTTCCATTTCACCTACAGACTGCAGGGGAGACTGATGAGATCAATATGATATACACTAATATTTAACAACATGCACTTGTATACTCTAATTGTGCAGCATGGTTACTGAGCATGCAGCTCTCTCAATAAAAATGAAACAGATCCAGCATTGTGTACACAGTCACACTTCAATGACAACACCATCTTGTTGTTTTAGAAATGGCCTTCTGCTGCAGTAAAATGACACAGTAAATGCCACACAGGCTCATTCATTCAGCATCAGGAGCGTGTTTTTGCAGAAAATTAGCCAGAAATGTGAAGTGAGTCCAGTGGGAATATTCAAAATATGAACAATGTAGTTTGACTGGGATTACCACTATTAACAACATTGGAGAAATAACGAGAATGGTCCGCTGTTACACTCACAAAATTGTTTCAGGTGTCTTTCATTTTCTCATGGCAGGAAGGTTTTTCACGTTTTATCCTCTCAAGTATATGATATTTTTCCTTATCATCAAAGTACATTAAAACCCCTCGACCTCAGGGAAGAGCACAGTCGATTTGGAATTACAGCACAGAGGGGCTCATCCATCTTCTCCTGACCAATATTCTTCTAATTACATAAGTATCTGTCTATTCATGCAAAGAAAGTAAATGAATCAGTGGGACATTACAGAATGTCACATTGTGCCCCACAGCATATATACACACAATAATATGGGGGGGGGGGGGTAAACAAGTCAGATGCCAGTTTGCAGATGTCGCACATTAATTTCACCGCATTCATTCATGCAGACAACGCTCACTCATTCTGATTATCTAAGACCTGGATGTGATTGTCAGTCTATTAGTGTCAGTCAATATCTGCCAGGGGTAATTAGGGTTGATGGGGTAATTAATAAAGGTAAATTACAAGTATGTAAGCAACCTCCACCCTCTGGTTCAAGTCATCGTCGGTGATGTCACTAATAACACACAAGTTAACTGCAGCACTTCTTTGGGATAAGCTGTGAAAGACGGACTGTTGGACGTCCCAGAGTTTGTCCAAGTTCCATCTTTTAAATTTATCATCATACACTGAGGTACCAGATTTTAAAAGGCTCACTGGTACAACTGAATGCCATCAAATACAATAGTCAACACATCGCTGACACAGTTGTGAAAAACAAAAGACAGAATTCAATGCTGAGTAGCAGTGATGGCTGTTCACTTTGTGTACTGATGGTTGGGGGGGTAGAGGCGCTTTCCCCCACGAGCATTAGACGAAATAAAGACACCATGTAAACTGTGAACGCGAATCAATATGCAATTTAGTTTGCCTGCAGGGCTGAATTATGTGACCACAGCCCCAGCGCAGGCCAACACTGACAATACTCTGGGGGAGTGGCTGTACAAACGCTGTCTTTTGTGCTTTTTATTTTCTTGCTTGATTGACAATCTATTAGCACATGCAGGGTATTCTTCAGTAAAAGACAGTAATTACTGTATGTCACTTCGAGTATTCCTCTAACTAAACGCCTCTCTTCAACATGGGGCATTTAAAAACAGTGAGTACAAAAAAAGCCTTAAAAAAGTAGAATAAAATTAACCTAATTGGGTGTAATTCTTATTGCTTCTATCTCAATATGCATTACTGTGTTTATGGGGTGCAGAGGTTATTTAAAGGAACTGATCAATGACTCTGTATCACAGTACTCACATGTTAGTGTTGGCTGTAGAGGTAAGCCACTCTCCTGCCAGCCCAACAATATCTAACCCTGTGGACAGTTGGTTAAAGAACCTGGGGTGACCTGCAATTGATAAAGAGACAACAAAGCAACATAATTCCCAGAAAACAATTAATCATTTGAGAATCTGAGACAGAAAACAGCGTATCTGTAATCACTATACTGGCGTGTAAAGCTAATTAGAGTTATTGATTGCAGCAGGACACGCTGCTCCTTCAGGCCTTTGTTCCCACCTGTTCTCACTCCATATTTCAGAGTGTCCCTGCAGTCTACCAGGATCTGCTCCAGAGACTCGGGCTGGTCAGAGAGCTCCAGGTTGAAGCCCTCCATGCCCTCCAGCAGCTGGTGGGGGTGGTGGAAGTCCAGGACCTTAGTGGATCTGTCAAAGGTCTTCCGGACGTAATTGGTGAGGATTTCCACAACCTCCAGCAAGAACTGCATGGTCACCTCCTCTCCATTTTTGGCAGGCAACAGATCTACAAAATAAAAACACATCCATTCACTCAGTGTCTGCTTGGGTCTCTTGTGGTTATCTACATTTACAATGAGCATTTTCACAGGTCATTTTCACAGTTTACTGTTGAATTTCCTGTGACCTCTGGGTTTCTCAGTAAGTTGAGAATTACTTTTACTCATTTATTTTGTGCAAATGATACAACAATTGGGTTAAATGGGAAGTGATACCACCCAACAAATGCAATGAAGGTAGTTAAACAGACTTTGTTTCATGAAAACCATCTCTGGAGATTTTTAAAAAAATATATATATATTTTGTCATTAGCAATCTGATTCATCATTCACTTTTTTCTTTTCCTGGCATTACCTGCATACTTGACTTCACATTAAAATGTCCACACAATGTTGGATTTCTCCAAGTTGCATATTCTATGTTAAGTGCATCGTGTTTCATTTCAAAGAATAAACACAGTTCGTCTACTTCGACCGTCTTCCCGAGCCTACCTCTGGCGAAAAGGTTGGAGAAGTCGACCTCGGTGCGTCTGAAACGCGCGTCTCCGCCGATGTTATCGCAGGACAGCAGGTTCTTGGCTGTGCGCTCCTTCAGGGAACTCACAATCCTGCTCCTCTCCTCCAGACTGTTGTTCTTCTGCAAAAATCCTAAACGTTTACAGGAAGAGGAGTCCGCAGTGTGAGTACACTTCCCATACATGTTGGGCTGCAGCTTTTTTTTACTCTACCAGGCCCACTAATAACTCCACTCTCCCATTTCTGACTTTAATCTCCTCTTTTGTCTTTCTCCGGTGATCTACACTTGCTCTCTCTCTTTTTCGCTTCCTCTTTCTCTTTCTCTTTCTCTGTGTCTCTCTCTTCCTGTCTCTCTATTTCATGTGAAAAGGGTCCCATCCTACAAAGGGAGTGCTATTTATGGGCGTAGGGCCCTGTGAGAGGATGAGCCCGATGACATCAGCACCAAACTCCAGCCAAGGAAAAACATATCGCTGTCATGTAGCGGCGTTAAATTCTTACTTAAGCTCAACCCATAGTCCGCACTTCAGATGGGAGCAAACAGCAGCCGATAACAACAGGCCTACAGCACAAAGGCAAATTTGATAATAATGATAAAAAATAGATGGGAATTTATCAGTAAAGCCTGCTGAGAATATAGTCCGCAAGTAGCCTATATCTTTACAGAAATTGCATTTTAAATGTGTGCCACACGCTACTTTCAAGACATCAAACCTACTGTTTCCTGATAATAATCCAACCAGAACACAGATTTTCCCCCCTCTTTGTGTTTTGTAGCTTTATGGGTAATTAAATGGCCTTAATGAAACCAGCAGAACGTGTCGGTCAGAAATACCAGAAAATTGTACTGGGCACTGGTGCATGACATTGAACATTATAGTAGATGTCAGCCCGTCTTTGGTTAGTGCAGCATGAGACTGAAATAGACTCTCAAAGTGGAAATCGGAAAATCCATCCTGCATAATTCCCCTCTTTCATTTCATCAGCTCCAACTCAGGGATAAATTGATGCTTTTGGCAGTTGATGCTGCTGGCCTTTTTCCCCCCTTTCATTTTGGTTAAATTACCGAGATCAGGTGTGATGGTAGTTTAATAAGATAAATAACAGCCTATTGGTTAATCTAAATGTTTAATCCTTGTTTGGGTGATATTTCGAAATCTCGTTGGAACAGGAATCTGTTTCCACTGAGCCGCGAGTAAAATGATGCAGGCCATGTGCATGAAGTCATGCTTCTGGAAAGCTCCCAATTCATATTTTTGCATGATTTTTTTTTAATTACCAAAATGCGAACTTACCACATATCTTCATTCCCAATTTTCTAGTACATCCATGAGCAACTCCACACCAAGCATCATAACCTGAAATTATTTTTAAAACACAATTAGAGGGCCTCACAGAAGCCTAGTTCAAAAAAAGAAATCACATTTCAGTGTACATTTTTAACTTGAACAAATTAATGCTGAAAATAAATGGAGAGATGAGGTCGAGTGATGTCGCATGCTAAAACAAAAATAGGCTGCATGGGTCTCTTGGGATTATTTTAACACTAAACCGCACTCCCCGGGCCCCTGGATCTGGATTAGCCTATTTCCCCCTGTACGTCACCGTTCATGACCTATAGGCAAGGGCTTAAAATTAATTAGGCGTTTGGATCCATGCCAGCCTAAAGATCTAATTGAGTGAAAAGATGCTGGTTAAAATGCGAGCATCAGTAGACACGGGGCGGCTGGCCAGTGACAGATAGAGAATTACTGCGTTATCAAGGGCTTCCAGCCAGAGAGGGGATGGGGCACCTTGGATGGGAAGCACAGACGAAATCCTCAAAAGCAGCAATTTAGAGGAGGAGGGGTGGGAGTGGGGGGAGGAGACTGGGGGGCAGTCCCAGTCCCACATCCCAATTTAACCCCTTGCTTTGGATCATTAGATAAATCATTGCCTTGCGTAGCTCATTGGAGCACTTTAACTCAGTCCTCACAATGATTTTTCCCCAAGCGAGATGGGCAAAAAAGACACAACTAAAAAAAACAAACAAACAAACAAAAAAAAATCAGGAAAGGCAATGGAAGAAAAAGGACAAGAGCAGATGTGCTGACACATAGCATTCAGACCAGACTATGCATTTGCAGGAATTCAGCTTGAAGGATATTGTAGCTGTAGGCAATTTCTGCGTGGGCGTCTCCTACTATAGACTGCTGCTTCTCATCAAACATCAACTGACAATGCAAAGCCATTCCGATATTAAAATCAAACATTGGTGAGAGAAATTTTTATTGTTTGCACTGTTTGCAATTTAAAAAAAAGGTATAATTCGCGAATATCTGTTTATTTCTTGTTTGCACATCTACAACATGATTTCAGACCTCTAGTCACTTGGAGAATCAGGCTTATTTTTTCTACCAGCTGACAATGAAAGGACTGTGGTGGTTGTATGGTTTCTCCTTCTCCCGTACCCCTTCTCGTAGAGTACAATGCTTAAGTGTGCCATTAGGGGCAATTTAATATGGCTGTATTAACTGCCACTTCAGGGGCAATTTCAATTTTTCCATGCAGGCACTTTCTTCAGCCAGAGCACATTTAGCCAAACCAATGAAAAAACAAAACATTAATGCATTAACACCCCACCCCTAATAATAGGCCTAATAATATCAATAATAATATTAATAATTATTTATTTGTAACTCTGCTGATAAATATATATATTTTTTTTTTAGCTCTCCTGACAAGATGTCCCGGTGGTGCAGCCTCTGGCTAATTTCCTTCTGTAATGTAAGAGGACATCAGCTTCCGACAGCAGCAATCGTCTGTCACACGTTTTGCCGGGAGGTCCGTATGCTGAATGAAATGCAGCGGTGATTTGTGGCGGAGGAAGCATTCTCAAACGGCAGCGGATTTTCTTTTCTTCCCCCTCTCTCTTTCTCCCTCGATGGAAATGATTAATGGCATTGCCCACAAAGTAAATAGCACACGTGACATAGCATTTTATCTGTGATGGACCTACTTGAGCCCGGTGGTCGTAAATTTGTCGAGTTGGGATCCGGTTCGCCGCCAGAGGAGGAGGGTGCAGACGCCGCCATCACTCCCGAGACCTGGTGCCAAAGTCCTCACCTCAAAGAGCTGGTCACTTTTCTTTCCCCACTTCAGTGCCCCCCAAAAATCTCTCCTCATACTATGAAAGATGAAAAGTAAAGCTCACTGTCAGGGGAAGGGAGAAACCCAGAAGATGTGCAGCATTTTAAATATGCGCCTCTGAAAGAGATGCTCAAGTTGCAGACAGAGACCTGTAGACGACAAGGTCACAGTCTGTCTCACAAGTTGAGATTCCTTTAGTCGGAAAAAGGAAATTAATAAATCGCGGATGAAAAGTTTAGGTATGAGACAAATCCTCAGTACATATAGCCTACTTTAACCATCCGATAGCCACTGACAGGAACACATTATTTCAGCATCTTGATCTTGCTCAGGATGGATGATGGTTACACAGCCGCCACACAGCTTCATGTTCCTCATCATAAATAGCACATCCCTAATTGCTCTGGCTAAGGCTGTGAAAATCACAGCTGTCAGATCATCAACACTGGCACAAATAGACTATTAAACATCTGAAAGGTAAGGCCATGTGCAAAAACAATGTAAATAAAAGTCTACGAAAAAGCAAATTAATGAGGAAGGCCTGTATCAGCATAGCTCTGGCTTCACAAACTTACAGGACACGTAGGTTATCAATTCATGGTGATTATCACCGTGATGCAGGTTAAAGTCACCCACAGAGAAGGACGACGTGCAACCCTCTTTCCAAACCATTAACTAGTTATTAAAGGCTGATTGAGAACAACAACATAAACAGTTTTTTACACGCATGCAATTCACATGCAAACTACAGGCCACATTTCATCACTTAAACCTGTTATTCTGCAGGGAGTAAACCTTATAAAACACCTGTTAGAGCATCTCCAACGACAATAAAGAACAGTTCATTTAGTTTAGAGCACAACAAATGAATAAAGCCACTTACCGTGATTGTGTGGGTCCAGGTGAACAGGTGCAGTCCAACAAAAAACAAACAAAAAAACAAAAACAAAAGGACAGTGAATTTACCACCAAATTAAGTCCTGAAGGAGAGACTGCTGCGCTCTTTGGTACACTCCAAGAAAAAGAACGACATGAAACCTGAGCTCCAGTTCTCCGCTAGATCCCAGACAAGGTGACCTTGCTTTTGTTGAAGAAGCTTTGATTTGCTGACACTTAAAGCAAACCTTGTCTGTTTATTGTCATTGCGCACGAATGACTCACGGCGAGTACAGGCTACTACCTCAGCCGGCGCTGCATGTTTGTAGAGCCAGGACCCATCTCAGACAGTCTGTAGGTTTGACACTGAATGGCGCCGCTTTTCGGCCCCTGAAGTATCACTTTTCTTTTCTTTCTTTCTTTTTTTTTTGGGGGGGGGGGGGGGGGGGGGGGGCTGATTGTCTTCGGATCTATATAGCTCTGGTTTGAATCCTGGTCACGAACATGGACTTGAAGTTTGATGGTATGAGCAACACATTACGTGAGGAGGGCTCAGGATCGAAGAGGGGAGGGGGAGAGATCGCTGGTTTTGTTCTTGTGGAAAAAAACAAGAGGACAACAGTAAAGAAAGCACCACAATCACGAGCCTAAATACTCTTTAATTGCTTTTATTTATTTATTTCTTCCCCCTCCAACCCCATGAATGATTCTGCTATTTCTGCAATATGAACGGAGATCAAAGAAAACGTTTGCAGATGATCTTAACGCTGCTTGTCATTACAGCTACAAAATGCACCTGTCATCCACACATCTTATTTCCCCACTTTCTGTGCAGACAGGATGGCGTTTGAATGATGAAGATGTAACCCACGACATTATGACACACTGGACGGGACGAAACCCCCCCAAATCCACAAGGTGGCAGTGAGAAACCAAGAATGACTCCTGCAGCACACAAACGGGCCACTCCAGGAATACCTCACGAAGCTAATTATACACCGACCTATTAATCTGGAACACGTCACCATCACACACGACCGCGAATGGACGGACGGACTGACACACACACACACACACACACACACACACACACACGAGACAGCCAATCACAAGCAATCACCAATAATTCTTTGACTGGTTACCTCTTATGCCATGAATCTGATTAAATGTCGTTTTGTGATGTTGTGACACAGTTGATTAGGAAACTGGACATAAAGACAGCGTGTTTTCAGTACTGGACAGCTCCACATCCTGCTCATGCTCCTCTACAGATTACAGGCTCTCAGGTTCCTCCCTTTAGGGGCCCCCAGAATTGCTGTGTGTCAGTTAGGATTTGGTCATTTGACTAAACCTATTTAAATGGGAATAGACATCATGTAAAATAAGTAATAAAAGCTCAAGCAGGGCTCCTCTACAAGATGGAACTAGTTATAATGCAAGACCTGCCTTAAAGGATATTTTTACATTTTATTTAGTTTATTTTAAAACAATACTCACATGCACATAGGTCCTTTCAAAGAGTTACCTGCTGCTGCAATTGTTCCTCCTATCCATACTGAAGAAATCCCTTCCTAACATGAAGTCACAGCATTTTTAATATGAAATTCCCTTTCTGTTACTATCACTGCACTGCAAGGTAGCACAGGAGCACAATCTGTAGAAACACTAAATTTCTAATAATACTAAAAATACTGCACGTTTGACAGATGCACAGTGTAACTCATATTAGCCTCAACTGAACATAAAAATGTATTTTTGCACAGAGCGAGGATTTTGTCCCCCATCTCTTACTCTGGAATCACATCAGGAAGAGATCTTTTCACAGCCAGTATGGACAAGAGGAATAATTACAGTGACCAATAACTCTTTCAATGAACATATGGGCATGTGAGTGTGTAATTATAAGACTTGATGTGAACCTATCCTTTAAGGCCCTTTGTTTCAGTATGTATTTTACATAAGCAAATTTACAATGAATCAAATTAACACAACTCTAGTCACACAGTAAACTTGGGATTTTTAAGCCTCTGAGGGTCAAAGTTGCCTGTTTGATACAATTAACATTCTTCGCAACAAATGCATTTCTTCTTATCACACCTCTAATAGATACTCGTCTTCTGCAAATACCAAATAAGGGCATTTGTACAGAAAAAGCCACGCTGCAGTGGCACACAAGAAGGTTTTTCTGTTTGCTGTTTCTCAGCTGCCAAGTGGTGCTAATAAAAATACAACAAAATTTATTTTTAAAAAAACAAAGGGAAAGGGGGTGGGGTTCCTTTTCACCAGTAGCTGTATGAAAACTGTCCACAAGATGGGGCATAATCCAAACGCAGAGAGTGAGAAACTGTATTTGTGTTTGTGACACAAGATTAATTTCACTGCAATCTGTGAACTAAATCAGACTTAAACAAGTCCAGCCATCTGAACTGCCAGTGACTGAACTTAAGCATGTGAAAGAAATAAGAATTCTCCTTCAGAGAACTAACACTGCCTGGTCCTGTTTCTCTCTAAGCCTGCAGCTGTCAGTTTCCTTTGACTGTCACACGGCGTCTTCACTGGTGTCACTGCTGTCTCCCTCATGTTGCAAACGTTTCATCTTTTCACCCTACTCTCATCTCAAGAAGCACCTATTCACAAATCTGGCTTGAATAAACAGGTCCCGTAACTATGGCAAGTCAGTATGTTATCATAGGCAAGTCAGCATGTTGTGTGAATAAAATAAAGAGGTAATTAAAGTACACCAAGCAGCAATTTACAAAAAAAACGATTAATTGCGATCACTAAACTAAACAGAGAAACTTTCTAGAAGTCAGCATACAGACACCTGCTGAGAGCAGATGCATGGTGGTGACGTTTAACTCTCAACCCAGAGCTTAGAACTGAGAATAAGGATAAAATGGGAGAAGCTGCACTGAGTAAAAAAAGCCCTGTTTGATCTTGTTAAACCAGGTGAAGCTATGATACCATCAGCAGCCATCATCTGGGAATGTTTCAGGGCCGTAGCCAGAATCTCAGAAGAGCTTGGGGCCACGAATCACTCTCTTTTTCCCCCTCATCAACATCAAACAGAGAGTATTTAAGATGTCTTATATTTATGTTCTCAAATTGAATTTATTATAATAAAATGTTTAAATGGTAACACTTTATAATGTAGTGAGGGAGTAACTTGGTATTGGAATGAATGAATTAGGAACAACCTGATAAATGATGAACAGCTAGCAAGCAGTTCATTCATAACTCTGAGGAATATACAATAGATAATGAAGAGATCTTTGAGAACAGACTTTGAGAGACTATAATGATTTATTTAACAGTGGTGGAATGTAACTAAAGCTGCGTTTCCACCAAAAGTGGATCTCTTTTCAAGGAACTAAAAGGTTCCTTCAGCCCATTGTTGTGTGTGTGGTCTAAAGACCTGTGAATATTAGGCAAATTAACCAGGTGAGGTAGGCCTATACTGCGTATAAAGCGATGCACAGGCATTATTATTTGTAACCACTTTCCAAGAGCAAAATTTATAAATGAACATCAGATTTGACTGGAATATAATAAAAAACTATAGGATATGCTTGACCATTAAAAACTGCTTTTTTGTGTGGGAGTATAATGAAGAGACACACGATTAAGATTGTTACAAATTTAATAACACACTGGATAAAGCCATCACGTTCTTAAACAAGCTTTATTACCTGTTGTTATCAGCTGTTCCGCTTGTTTTGGAGAGGAGGAGACCGACTTCGGCTCTGCGTAAAAACGTCCTGACCAATAAAAACTTAAAACAACAACTTCGGACCCAGTATTTAGGGTAGCTCCATCAGCTGTTTGCTGTAAACACACCACGGCACGCTGGCTGCTATTTTCGAGCAATATATTTAATGCTGACATACAATCTCAGCCGGACATTGACGAGACTTGTGTGTGGCTATTTGACTGTTTATTGTGATTTATTGGTTTGCAAATAATGGTGGTAAAGAGGAGCAGTAGTAGAAAAACGGTCGACACGCTCGATTTAAAACCAGTAGTCTCTACTTGGCCATTCAGAAATTCACTGCAAGGCAAGCCCCACCCCCCCAAAGTATCAGTACTCTCTGAAAGTACTATCCCCCAAGCAGGGACTTTTTGGGGGGTAAAATAAAGACCCTAGAACTAAATTTAGACCCTGGTCCCTGCGGTGGGAACGCAGTGAGTTCCTCCAAAAGTTCCTAGTTCAGGGGTATAGTTCCTTTGATCGAAACGCAGCTTAAGTAGTTCAGAGGTATTTTACCAAAGTATTTCCATTTCATGCTTCTTAATACTTTTGTTCCCCTACAGTTATGTGGAAAATGTTTATTACTTCACTACATTTATTTGACAGTTAAGATTAAAATGCTGCATAAAACACATCTGATCTAATGTCTATGAGTTGTTAGTAGCTCCACCAAAGAGACATTTCCCCCTTTAAACTTCTCATTTGGCTTATTTTAAAACGGACCCAAAGAGGTCAAACTCTCCCGTATTTCACAAAGAGGCAAAGGTCTGAGAAATGAATCAGAATTCATATATCAGAATCATCTGCCATTAAATATTTCATGACCCTTCAGGGGTTCCAACCCCTAGGTTGGGAACCATTGGACTAAACTACCTGTATAAACTGTAAATACACTCCACACCTCAACAAGCTCCAACAATAAAATAAAATTACAGTTTTATTTAGCATTTGTATTAAGAATGTAATCTATCATTATCACTCACAGAGCTGATGTCCTGCAAAACGAGTACTTTTACTCGTAATAGTTTAAGTACATTTATCTGTACTGCAACTTGGGTAGGATTTTAAATGCAGGACTTAACCTTGTAATAGTGTATTCTTACAGTGTGGTATTGTTATGTGTACATGGGTAAACAAAATCTGAGTACTTCTTCCACCACTGTTTTTCATAGATATCTGTAAATTGACATACTGACCACTTTCTCAGTGAGTCATTGATTACACTGATTATCCCTGAATCACCTTCACAAACAAGCACAAAACATGAAAACTCATTCATTTTTGCTACTATTTATGTGCCCCCTCAGGTGAGGTGGTGTTACAAGCAATCCCTCACTTTACTTCACACAAATCATTGCACTGTCCTCTACACAAACCATGTACTCTTCACAGACAGACAAACAAATGCATCCCAATGAATTTATGATAACATAAGAAATAAGATCACTTTTAACAGGCAATTTCAATACATATTTGTTTACTAAAATACTTATCTAGAAAATAAGGTGTGATGAAAATAAACCAGCATATACAAACCATGCTACCAGAGGGCTGAGGATGCCTGCAGGTACAGATGGATTGTAGACAAACATCCAGGTGAGGCTGAGCATAAGTGCCTGTGATCTGACCACCTACTTCCTGTAAATGTCACGTGACAG